TTTTAATTTTGGGATGTTCATCATACCAAGCAGTTTGTAACGTCATTCCGAAATCGGTGACTGTCATTACTGGGTGTGGTTGGGTTTGGTTTTTTAATCCAGCAGAATCACTGCTAGAAAAATTTAAGTGATTACAGGCATTAGTCCTCTTCAAACCCGTGACCGATGTATTGCTCTGTCTCAGGATTCTGACAACCCAGACCTGCGGGATCGTGGCTACATCTACTGGCGCCTTCTTTCCACGGATCCAGTGACTGCCAAAGAAGTGGTCCTCTCAGAAAAGCCCCTTATTTCTGAAGAGACCGATCTGATTGAACCGACTCTGCTAGATGAGTTGATCTGCCATATTGGGTCTCTGGCTTCTGTGTACCACAAACCACCCAACGCTTTTGTGGAGGGGAGCCATGGGATCCACCGCAAACACTTGCCAATTCACCATGGAAGGTAAGCTGAGCCAACTGGGGTGATAATGGGCAGGATTGGCTCTTTCTTTCTAGCAAAGTTTCCAAAAGATCACAGAATCCCTGAACGGTTTGGGTTGGGAGAGACCTTAAAGCCCGTCCAGTCCCACCGCCTGCCATGGGCAGGGACACCTTCCACTAGACCAGGTTGCTCCAAGCCTCATCCAGCCTGGCCTTGGACACTCCCAGGGATGGGGCATCCACAGCTTCTCTGGGCAACCTGTCCCAGTGCTTCACCACCCTCTCAGAGAAGAATTTTTTCCTAATATTCAATCTAAATCTATCTGCTAAGATGCAAAGATCTCTTATAACATGCTAGTGGAGTATTTTTATTGTTTGTGTAGGAGCTTGCAGGTGATTCAAGGGGCCATTTCATTGTCTAATTTAATCCTGGGTATGTAAATTCTGAGTTCCTGGGTCAGAAATTAGAGGAAGTATCAAAGTTCTTGTGTGAGAAGTTGTGATGTTTTTTGAAAAGACACTGGCTATGAGCCCTCTTGACATGAGAGTCTGAATAAAAAAGCAGGAGCTTTGGGTAACTGATGCAAGGGCATAATTCCGGGAGGAGAGTGAGTGTGGTAACGAAAAAAAAAAAAGGCATTTCAGAAAGATACCCTTCTTTGGTTTTTGTAAGACCTTTTGCTTCAGCAACAGCACAGTTTTACAAGCCTCATTTGTGTGGAATAATACCAGTTTCTTGGAACAGGGGAGTACAGGGATCCTTTGCTGCTGCAGCATGAAAGGGGGAAGGACTCTGAAAACCACCTTTCTCACTTGGTGTCTGTAAAGCAAGGGGAGTGTAAAAGCCATTTAAGCCCCATCACTGGAAGCTGTTTGGGCTTAATAGATGATGGCTGGGCTGCTACGGTTCTGTGTAACCTTTGGGGTGGAGGGGGGAGCGAAATGCTTTGCCTTACTGTCTGGGAGCTTTAATGCTTCCCCGTGATCACAGCTCTGGAAGCGGGTGAGGTCTGCAAGAGTAGTCCTGGGCTGCAGCGGCGTTGCTGCTGAGCCTGTTCCCATGGTTCCTCGTTCAGGTAAGCAGTGCTATCGACACTAATGATATTAATTACAAATGTAAGTGTGCTTTACAGCCGGAGGCAGAGTATCCAGGCTTACCTCTTAATATTCCCAAAGTGACATTCGGAATGCTATTTTTTTGCCGTTGCACTGATAAATCTGTGTGCGATGCTGCTCCTTTTCTATTTTCCGACACTGCTTCTCTGCTATTCTTAGCAACTAAAGCTATTTCTGCAATCACTAGCTTTGGGAAGCCGAGTTGTTTTTTCCCTGCCTGTGAAATTAAGTCTGGCTGCACTGACCCAGGACCAGCAAGCACAAGTCTACCAGCTGGACAAGAAAAGCGGTGGCTGCTTTCCATAGCTACCTCTCCTAGTCAAAGATTTGCCTCAATAGCACACTGAGCTGGGGTGGGGGTAGCTTTGGTCTCCGGTGTTACCAGCCTTCCCATACACTGTTGTTTCAGGTCACTGCAGAAGCTAACATTTTAAGGGGTTTTAGTCAGCTCAAGGAATTCAGCTTTTGCACGGAGTCATCTTTTATACTGTGTTCTTGCTCAGACAGTCTGCTGGCCTCAAATCTCTTCTGACTGTAGTAGTATTGTACATTGCCCCCTTCTAAATTACCCATTACTTCAGTGGGTAAATGAGGCCTGTAAAACTTCCAGGCGTCAGTCAGCAGTGGCAGGCTGAAGAGGCCAGGGCTGGGTGAGGTCTGGAGGGGGCTCAGCAGAGCACACTGCGTGTTGGCGCAGTGCTCCAGCCCGCTTGGTAAATGAAGAACCTCAGTGGTGTTACTTAATGGCACACGAGGCTTCACTGGTGTGAGCTCACCTCGTATAGACGCTCCGTTGTTGTGGTTAGCTGCCAACGGACAGTGAAACCTTACGAGCTGATGCCAAGGCCGCCTTGTACCATGTCACCACATACCAAATTGCCCCTTTCAGCCACAACAATTATAGTGAGCAACGCCACAGGAGTGTGGTTGTGGGGAGCCTAAATTTGTGCATCCAGTATAATTTTACTGATTACTATAAAATTGGTTTACCTTCTTCTAGTGCTGAATGTGCATGAAAAGATACAGGAAAACCTGACAGTTCCAGGCAACTTCAGTGTCCAGTGAAGGATTACCTCCTCACCTAGCTATTTGGAGTTGTCTTTGTGACTCCTGCACTCGGCTAATGACCGTTGTGGTGGCTGACCCAGAGTGTGAGGTTTTCCTTCAGATTGCACAGTGAGATAGAGGTGGAAGATGTCCACAATTAATGTGGCTTAAGCAAGTCAAGATAGCATTGCCTTGAGTAGATGGGCAGAAGTAGCTGGTTGAGTGGTGCTTTTCTGGGCATAAACCTAGGGGAGTTAGTTATGGTTGGCAGAATACACTACACCGCATTTGATTCATTTTCATTCAGAGCAGTGTAGGACCGGTTCCTTTCAGCTCTCAGCTGATGGGGAGACCCAGTGAACAGCTCACAGATGGTGAGATGTTTCTGTCTCTTCAACAAGCCCAAGTGTCATAGAGTTGAAGATGAATCCTAAAGGTGGGGGAGAAACCTCCTTACTGCTTGGCAGTAATTTCTCATGTGGTGGCTCCCACCATCCCGGCTCAGCTATAATCCAGCTGGGAAAGGGCTCCTGGAAGAGAGGAGACTCTGGCAGGAGTCCCCATTCCCATACAGGTGGCTGCAGGAAACTTTTTATTCTGGTTCAGGCTGTGCATCCCCTGTGACACCCAACATCTGGGAGCTGCAGGAGGTTGGACTTGCAGGAGGGCCACATCTCCAACTCACGTAGGAAAATCCAGCTGCTAGCCACTGCCCAAGACTATAGGGGAGAAAGCTTATACCAAGTCTTTTTGCCTTTTGTAACCCACATACTCTTTATTCTTTTTTTTATTATTAAAGACACTGCAGAGTTGTTTGTACAGATCTCTTCAGAGGCCCCTTCTATACAGGAAATGGAAGTCTTGGTGTTCTGGTTTTTAATACAAACTGACTTAGCTCTGTCCTTTCCTAATTTCTTGTCGGGCTTTGGGGCAACTGCAGTTACACAAGACCTTGAAAGAATTGCTTTCTCGCCATCAGAAGAAGGATGAGTAAGTGTTGAAGAGGTGTAGTGTTGAAGGGATTATATGCTGGGAATGAACCAAGTGTGTGCACTGCCGGCTTGTAATGTGCCTCTGCTCATACACGCTGTTCTTCCCCGTTCTCAGGTTGGGGGTGGGAGTGGTAACCACTTGCTCTTCAAAACTGTTTTAGTTAGCTGTTCGGCATACTCAGAAGTCTTCCTGC